AAAAAAACTTCACGAAATTAAAGCACAAAGGACTTATAATTATTAATAAAAATTGTACCTTTCCGGTAGTATCCATTCCAAGCGTTTCCTGCTTGCTGCTGTAAAAAAAGTAACAAAATTAAAAAGATAGAAGATGGTATAATTATAAGAAACTGTTTAAGATATCGTGTAAAAAAAGTTTCGGCTGACTGCTAACGCCGTCCTCTTCGGAAGAATCAGAAAAGAACTACAGTTTAATCGAAAGAAAACCAAAAAATTGATTGCAAAAGCAATCTTTGATATTTGACAGTCAACGAAAAAAGTGCAAGTTTTTTTGGAAGCTCCTCTGCAGAAGAACCCTGCTGCTGTAAATTAATACATCCGTTAACAGCGTACAGCAATACCGAATCTGACACTTGTCCAAAACTATAAAAGAATTCGGTGGCCGATATAAAGTAGCAGTGACAGTAATCATTTCACCAGTGCAAAATTACCAAAAACAACAACAACAACAACCACGAACAAGCAACTTTGTAAGACCACTTGACAATTAACATCTATTAATATACGTGCCAAAACTTGCAGAATAATCAAATACACGGTTTGGTACAACAACAAAGAAAAAGACAAGTTAGAGACCCTTCCTCTCTCTGCAAAAAAAGAGAAAAAAGACGACAAGTTTTAAACAATAAGTACTGAGAATCAATTTTCTAGTTTTTCAACATCAGAAGTAGTAATGTTGATACCATTTCCATGATCATTTGTAACGTCTCATTCCTGCTTACTTGTTCCTTGCACTAGCATATCATATTCCTCCATACTGACTCTGAATAAAGTTGGCAACAACAACAACAACAACAACAAAATTGGATACCACATCTCTTTCGCTGCGCACTTCAACAAGTTTTTTTTCCAGCCACCATCAAAGTTAAAGTTACTGCTCACCATCGGTGTTGTACTGCTTGAAACCTCCAGAAAAGAAGTCATTGAAATGTAATGGCTACTATCCCTGTACTAAACACATGGTAAACAGTTGCTGATTTTCAGCCATCACTCAGAGGCTGTATTCGGTCGCACAGTGCAGTCAGTGATCATAGTCAAAGATAATCAACAGAATCGCTGTTCCTACTTCCCTTAGAATGGCGATCTTTCAATTGCTTTACGGATGAGGTTTCTTTCTTGTGATACCTCTTGAACAATTCCGTTCGGAATGAAACCTGGTCCCTGTGGGGTTGAAGGGCCATGAGAATCAGAGGCGATTCTGTCGCCAAATTTTATTGGTTTTGAGACCTCAAAAAATGATTTCACTGGAATTTTTTCTAGATCTAGGTTTTTTATTTTTTGCCTATATCGTCTCAAAAAAAAACTTTTTGAAGTATATATAAAATTTGTATTTCTTTGATCCGTAAATAAAAACACTGAGTAAAATATGAGCACATATGAATTAGAGAGTAAAAAGTTAAAGAAAATGCGCTAAAAAGGTATAGTTTTGTGGGTAAAAAAAAAAAAAAAA